CTGTTTGATCTGCAGCTGCCATTGCGCTGCACATGTGATCAGTTATGACACCAGCAGGGGCGGACTGACAACTCATGGGGCCCCCGGGTAATAGGGGATCATGGGGCCCCTGTGTCCTTGCCCAAACTCAAAAAAGCCTATGAAAAAGGTACCAGGGCATCTCATGGGGCCCCCTACTGACCCTGGGCCCTTGGGCAGTGACTGAGTTTCCAAATGGTCAGTCCACCCCTGGACACCAGTCATTTGATGGCTTGACCGCTCGGTTGAGAGCACACGTTTTTATTAATTACAAAATGGTGTTGCAGCACTGTCACTGGTCTGTAGCTTGTCAATCAACACAGGGCCCACACCTACTCCTATCCACTGTTTTCTGGATTGACAACACTGCCTGTTGCTTTTACCCTCCTACTGTGAGCTGCAGTGTCTGGGAGGGGGAGCATGTGAAGCACAAATAAAGGAGGATTTGTCTCAGTCATTGGAGTTCAATTAAAGAGGAACTAAACCCTTCTATCCTTTTCAGCCAAGGAAGCTTCCATTTTAGGCCCTGTTTAACCCGCAACTGCCATGGTGCTGCACATGTCATTTGTTATGCAGCCAGCCATTTGATGGTCTTACAGTTTGGTTGGGAGCACAAACAAATGTGATAGTTTGCATCCCCGGCATGCCTGGAATGTAACTGTTTTTTTTTTTTTTTTTTTAAACCGTTGAATCGGTGGGTTTAGTTCCCCTTTATGTTTTTACGTGGCTCTTCTATCACATAGTAATCGGATTTCAGACTGCCACACACGAGCCTTTGGGTGTACCTTATTCCCTCTGAGTGTAGTCTGCCTGGTAAAGTACCTCTGCCAGTTCCAGCGATTTTCACAGTGTGCTCCTTCCGGAGTCGCACAGCGTATGCAAGAAAAACCTTGCAGCCGTGTCCTCTACTCACTCAGCATGCACGCCATGGTCCCATTCATTCCTATGGGAGATCCATACTCCCATCGAGGGCTGGAGGCCACAATGAGACTGGTACACACACATAAATGAAGATGTAGTGCGCATGCGTAGTAAGAATACCTAGCAGGGGTGTCTTTTTTGCATAGGCATTTCGATGCCTCAAAGTGAAAATTGCTGGAACAGAGGGGAAGGCAAGTATTTATTATGACACACTGCACTCGGGTAGGGGGAACTCCTCAAAGAACCGTATTAGGTTCAGTTGACCTTCAGAGTAGAACTAAACCCTCCTATTCTTTACCGCAGGGGTCTCCAGAATTTTTAAACAAAGGGCCAGACTGTGGCCAGAGGGGTGGAAAATATCTCAGATTCAGTGGCAATAAACAATGCTCTCTAGGCTAAGTGATCAGTGGGAGTAAATAAAGTATATAGCTCTTGTGGTCAGTAGGAGGAGGAATAGTGCCCCGTCATTGATGTCAGTGGAAAGAAGCGTGCCCCATCATTGGTATCAGAAGGAGAAATAGTGCTTCATCTGTGGTGTCAGTGGGAGGAATAGTGCCCCATCATTGGTATCACCAGAGTGCTCCAGCATTGGTATCACTGGAAGGAAGGGTGCCTCATAATTGAAACCAGTGAGAGGAATATTGCCCCATCATTGGCATCAGTGGGAGGAATAGTGCTCCATCTTTGGTCTCAGTGGGAGGAATAGTGCCCCATCATTGATATCAGTGGGAGGAACAGTACTCCATCATTGGTGTCAGTGGGAGGAATAGTGCCCAATCATTGGTGTCAGTGGGAGGAATACTGCTCCATCTTTGGTCTCAGTGGGAGGAATAGTGCCCCATCATTGATATCAGTGGGAGGAACAGTACTCCATCATTGGTGTCAGTGGGAGGAATAGTGCCCAATCATTGATATCAGTGTGAGGAACAGTGCCCCATCATTGGTGTCAGTGGGAGGAATAGTGCCCAATCATTGGTGTCAGTGTGAGGAATAATGCCCAATCATTGTTGTCAGTGTGAGGAATAGTGCCCCATCATTGGTGTCAGTGGGATGAATAGTGCCCCATCATTGGTGTCAGTGTGAGGAATAGTGCCCCATCATTGGTGTCAGTGGAAGGAATAGTGCCCCATCATTGATATCACTGGGAAGAATAGTGCCCCATCATTCGTATCAGTAGGAGGAATAGCGCTCTATTATTGGTGTCATTGGGAGGAATAGTGCCTCATTGTTGCTGAGAGTGGGAGGAATATTGCCCCATAGTTGGTGTCAGTGGGAGGAATATTGCCCCATCATTGGTATCGGTAGGAGGAATAGTGCTCCATCATTGGTGTCAGTGGCAGGAATAATGCCAGATCATTGATATCAGTGGGAGGAATAATGCTGGATTATTGGTGTCAGTAGCAGGAATTATTCCCCAATGTTGGTGTCAGTGAAAGGAATTGTGCCCCAAGGGCTGGATAAAGGCTTACAAAGGGCCACATCTGGTCCACGGCCCACAATTTACAGACTACTGCTTTGCAGCCAAGAAAGCTGCCATCTTGGCCTCTGCGGTTGCCATGGTAATGCACATGTGATTAGTTATGACATCAGCCATTTGATGGGCTTACTCTTCACCTGGGAGCAGAAGCAAATGTGACAGTTATTCATGACATGCCTTGAATGGAACCATTTTAAGAAATAATAAATTGATGGGTTTATTTCCACTTTAAGCTCATTTCAGCTGCAAGTATACCTAAAATAATTTTGAAAATAACAACAATACAAAAAGTGCACTAAAAATAGAACAACAGAAATCCAGTACACGCCATAAAGCGACATAAGGCTCCATGACACCCTCGCCATCTACCATGCCTGGCAGCTGTTCCCATCACGGTTTGTTACTGCAGTGTAAACAGCACTGCGTCTAGAATCCTTCACTGCAGAGCGCAGAGAACCATGGCTGCGCATTCACTTAGCAGGAGAGTACGAGCGCACAGACCTGTCAGCAGAAGCAGGTCAGCAAGATTGAGCAAGGAGGAAAATCAATAAATCTTTGAATTAATCATGCAGCTGCCAGAGAGAATTATGGGTGCTTGAAGTGAAGCGGCAAGGTAAGTTTCCATGGCGACCGTTTTGTTTCCTCCTCACCAACTGAAGCTGGACCTGCAATTAGGCCGCCTAAGCAAGATACAGTACGGTATTTTAAAGAGGAACTGTACGGTAATTTTATTAGGACGAGATCAAAGTTTACAATCGATTTTTTTTTCCTGAATTTTGATGCCTCTGTTTTACAAGATTGCCGCTTCATAATGGAAGCTCCAATTCCATTTAAGCCCTTCCCGCTGGCGCCTCCCGGCCCTTTAAGTGTTTCAGAAGCAGGGAGTGGGTCGGGCGGGGCGGGGCAGGGTTTAGGGATCATGTGATCGCCGTGATGCGCCATCACGGTAGTCCCATGATCGGGAAAGGTCCCAATCGAAAGAGCAGACCGGGATCTTTCCGTGAGTACCGGACATGTGTGCTGGGAGCACGCAGGGTGCGCGCTCTCAGCACATATTTTTTTTTGTTAATTGCAAATGTGCGGCTGCTCGGCGTCTAGGCCCAGACGCTGGGAGGCCGCACATTTGTGTGCTGCTGGCGTGAAGTGGTTAATATACGAGGTGTGACAATTTAATTCCTGGACTACCCGCGGGGGTAGCCCTATGGTGAGGATTCACTCAGCCATTCGTGGGCGAGCGTTTTCTGACATGTTCTAACTTGTACTCACCGGGGCTTCAGACCAGTTGACTCAGTTTTTATGGAGTAGTAGAAGAAATAATGGGTGCGTGCGTTGCACTGTTGGTAAAAAGTGACCAGAATCTGGAGCAGCGGATTAATGTCAAATTTTGAGTGAAAATTGGCAAAAGTGAAACTTTAGCTCAGTTGCAGCAGTCTTATGGTGGACATTCCATGAAGAAATCAAGTGTTTTTGAATGGCAAAGGCGGTTTAAGGAGAGGTGAAAAGATATTTATTTATTACAGGTACTTATATAGCGCCATCAATTTACGCAGCGCTTTACATATATATTGTACATTCACATCAGTCCCTAACCCTCAAGGGGCGTACAATCTAATAGCTCACATTCATATACTAGGACCAATTTAGACAAGAGTCAATTAACCTACCAGCATGTCTTTGGAGTGTGGGAGGAAATTGGAGAACCCAGAGGAGACCCACACAGACATAGGGAGAGCATGAAAACTCCAGACAGGTGGTGCCGTGGTTGAGATTTGAACCAATGACTCCAGTACTGCCAGACAAAAGTGCTAACCATTTAGCCACTGTGCCCATATCCACAACGATATCCACAATGATATCCACGATGACACAAGAAGTAGGCAGCCAAAAACGCAAAGGATGGATGCAATAGTAGAAAATGAAAAGGTTATGGGAATCTGTTTGGAAGAAAATACCAGAACTGTGGCCTGACAAGTGAATTCTCCACCACGACAATGCTCCTGCACATGATGCATAAGTGTTCACGAGTCCCTGGCCCTGAAAACCATGCCAATGGATATATATATATATATATATATATATATATATATACACACACACATATTTGCAGTTGCCACCTTTAGCGACTATCTATTTATCAGACGTTATAGTGAGCCCAATCAAGTTTGTTGCTTTCAATCAGTTCACACCACTGGCTGCTAGACTAGCATTGAGATAGGGAAAAAATAAAACACCATCACTAGGAGGCAGTATAAGACCTCATTCACATGGATGATCAGGCACAGACAGCAGGAACAGACAGGGTACTGCTGAGGCTGGGCTGACAGGTGGTGTCGGATAGCTGCCGCTGCTCAGCCTGTACTAAGCAGTTGACAGGAGGAGACGCAGACAGAGGATCAGAGGTTATGCAGCCTCATAGGACAGCCGGAACAGAATGAAAACTCCTCCTACAAGTCATAACCAGTGCTCTGCTGGACACTGATAGAAGCCACAAGACTGCTCTAACTGCTGATGAGAAAAGGTATTTAGCAGTTTATATTTACTAAAATAATTGCATTTCCATTTTGTATGTACTGTGGGAAACCAGATATAGTGAATGCAGGGTCTGGGTAGACCAGATATAGTGAATGCAGGGTCCGGGGAGACCAGATATAGTGAATGCAGTGTCCTGGGAGACCAGATATAGTGAATTCAGGGTCCTGGGAGAGATCAGATATAGTGAATGCAGGGTCAGGGGAGACCAGATCTAGTGAATGCAGGGTCTGGGGAGACCAGATCTAGTGAATGCAGGGTCCTGGGAGACAAGATCTAGTGAATGCAGGGTCCTGGGAGACCAGATATAGTGAATGCAGGGTCCTGGGAGACCAGATATAGTGAATGCAGGGTCCTGGGAGACCAGATCTAGTGAATGCAGGGTCCTGGGAGACCAGATATAGTGAATGCAGGGTCCAGGGAGACCAGATATAGTGAATGCAGGGTCAGGGGAGACCAGATATAGTGAATGCAGGGTCCTGGGTTTAGTAACACATTAATATTAGGCCTCATTCACACGGGTGTATTGTGTTTGCCCACACAGGATGCACAGGTGTTCCTATGCATCTGCATGTAGGCAGTCCCATTCACGTCTAATGGGATGCAGCATCTGCAAGGACCCACTTGCTGATCCCAATTAGACATCCACGTGCATACGTAACCCTGAACACAGACAGTGCGCGTTTGGAGACCCACACAGATATCAAAATGGGAGCAGTGGCTGTGTCCATGCAGACGTTGCATCTCAATTGGCATGAATAGGACTGCCTGAATGGTGGAGGCACGGAACACCTGTATGCTTGTTTGAATAAGACTGAAGACTAATAAAAAAACATCCTGAACGCCCTATAGTAGAATTACTGTTACAGGGGGGCAGGGCTACACAAAATCACGTATATATATACGTGATTTTGTATTTCCGCGCAGGGGGTGCGCGCTGAGTATCACTGATGGGGGAGAGGTCTGTATGTAAACAACACAGATCTCTCCCCTGTCAGCTCCTGCAGATTGCTTTGTATTGCTCTGCATAGCAAAACACACTCAGCACACAGTTAACCCTTTGATCGCCCCAGATGTTAACCCCTTCCCGCCCAGTGCCATTAGTACAGTGTCAGTGTTTTTTATTAGCACTCATCACTGTATTGGTGTCACTGGGCGCAGTGAGGATTTGAGGGGTTGTGCTAGAAGGGTTGATTTGGAGGGAGGTATTTGTACTAGAAGGGTGGAATTTTGGATTGGTGGGGATATGTACTAGTAGAGATGATTGAAGGGATTTGTGCTAGGACGGCAATTTTTTGGGGGGGATTAGTGCTAGGAGGGGAGATGTGGGGAGATTTGTGCTGAGAGAGGGGGATTTGGAGGTGGAGAGAGGATTTATGCCCAGAGGGGAAATTTGAGGATTTGTGCTAGAAGGGGGGATTTGGGGAGGGGGGGATTTGAGCTGGGAGTGGGGATTTGTACTGGAAGGTGGGGGGGGGATTTTTGTTCATGAGAATGTTGGATTGCAAAGGGAATTCATGCTTGTGGGTAAGTGCAAAGATTAGGTCTTGATTTTTTTTTTTGGGGGGGGGAGGTGATTTATGCTGATGCATAATGCCATACTTTTTTTTTGGGGGGGGGGGGGTAATACTGTTTGGCAACTTTGCACTGGGCAAAAGGTGACCTTGTCCCGGCACTGGTGCAATCCTACATACAGTATAAAGAGAGAGAGAGAGAAAGAGAGAGAGGGGGAGAGAGAGGGGGGGGGGGGGGGAGAGGGGGGGAGAGAGAGAGAGAGAGAGAGAGAGAGAGAGAGAGGGGGGGGGGGGGGAGAGAGAGAAAGGGAGAGAGAGAAAGGGAGAGAGAGAGAGGGGGGGGGTATATGGATAGATGGATGGATAGATAGATAGATAGACAGACAGACAGACAGACAGACAGACAGACAGACAGACAGACAGACAGACAGACAGATAGATAGATAGATATGGAGAATATATGCAAAGTTGCAGCATTTTGTTCAGTTTGAGAACATTATTTAAATAAACTGGAATACTCCTTTAAGAGCCGTATCCAGAATTGTTTTCCCTCTGTCTAGCATTTGCCAGCCCCCGACTGATTCCCCTAAATAATTAATGTTACTGTAATGTACAGCGCAATCCTGTGAACACGGTTAAGCTCTTTAGGTTTTTGCTTTTTATTTTTTATGTCATACGGGTTGACATGATCAGGACAATTGCATCAAGTGTGACATTTGCTGCTGAAAGTTGACGTTTATTTATTTTTTTACCTCCTAGATGTCCAGCACAGTAATATTTTGAATAATGATTTACTGGGAATAATGTCCATGTGTCCAGGTGACAGTTACAGCAGCTATTGCACTGGAAACGCAGGGTCCATATAGGAAATGAAGGGTGACATCATACACTTTCATTCTTTATCAGGATTATCAGATTGTCTTTATCATCAGCAATGCAATAACAATATTTTTGACAATCCAATATAAGCTTGCTTGAAAAATCACCTTTCATGTTGTGGGTGATGCCTGTCTGCTGGATGTCTCTTTCCACAACTTCCCGGAATCCCAGCATGCTTTGCAGCCTCTCCTCAATTTCCTAAAGACTACATGTCCCATGGTATATTGCTGCCTACAAGCAGTGATTCTTGTACTGACTCCGCCTCCTGCAACTCCTCCCCTCAGCATCTCTGTAGCTCAGAAGGCGGGCTCTGTGAAATGTGTGACACCGCAGTGCTACTCACAGGACATAGTGATACGTGTCAAAGAATTTAAGGAGGTAAATGTGTGGGGAACAGTACAATTACAAACTTCAATATTCAGTTTAGATGAATAGGAGTAGGCTAGAAATGATAGAATTATAATTTGGAAATTCAATTTAATAAGCCCTTCTCCCATGTCAAAATGCTGCAGTAAATGGGTGGACTTGCTTTTAACTTCTTTCCCTATAGTTTTTTTTTTTTATCATTGCAGCATTTTTAGGAGGTAGCAAAATAAATAAGTGGACCTTGTTGGGCAGGAGCACAACAGGGCAAAGCAGACAACACTGCTCGGGATTTCAGTGCAGCAGAGACAGTGGGGATTCATTTACTAAAACTGGAGAGTGTAAAATCTGGTGCAGCTCTGCACAGAAACCAATCAGCTTCCAGGTTACATTGTCAAAGCTTAAATGTACAAGCTGAAGTTAGAAGCTGATTGGCTACCATGCACAGCTGCACCAGATTCTGAGTGCTCCAGTTTTAGTAAATCACCCCCAGAATTTTCAGTGTAAACCAGAAACAATTGAGTACTGTCCGTGATACTTTTTTTATTTGCACTAACATACAATTTTAAGGACAAGCTTTCGGGGTATGTCCCCTTCTTCAAGTCTAAGCAGTACTATTAAAAATCACAAAGTTTAAGCAGAATGTTAGAATGGATTGAGAGAAAAAAAAATAAATAAATAAATACGGCTACAATCACCTCAAGCAGTGTAAACCAGAAATTAGAAGCTCACTATGGGGTTGATTTACTAAAGGCAAATGGACTGTGCACTCTGTAAGTACAGTTGCACCAAAGCAGGGGTGGACTGACCATTTGGAAACTCGGGCACTGCCCGAGGGCCCGGGGTCAGTAGGGGGCCCCATGAGATGCCCCTGGTACATTTTTCATATGCTTTTTTGAGTTTGTGCGAGGACACAGGGGCCTATGATCACCTATTGCCTGGGGGCCCCATGAGCTGTCAGTCCGCCCCTGAACCAGAGCTTAGTAAATGAGCAGAAGCTCTGCTGATTTTATCATCCAATCATGTACAAGAAAAAATGCTGTTTTTTTTTTTTTTTTTTTTTTCATTTTCCTTGCACGTGATTGGGTATTCTTTGTAATGCGAACATTTACTAAGCTCTGGAGCAAATGCACTTGCAGAGTGCACAGTCTATTTGCCTTCAGCAGATTAACAAATAACACATGGGCGCATTTGCCTGCATTGCAGAGAGGTACTGAATATGGTTTTTCTTTTTTTTTTACCCTGATGTACACTTTAAGCCCGGGTTCACACTGATGCAGTGTGGAATTTGCAGTGTTTTCAGTGCGAATTCTGAACCGCATCAGAATCGCACCCGGTTCATGCGAACCACTGTGGGTGTGTATGTTAAGTTACAAACCCCCAAAAGCAGTCCGCAAAATGCGGTGCGATGTCCAGAATCTGATAGCATAGGTGTGAATACCTATGCAATCCAATTCTAGTGCGGACCAAAAAAAGGGGTCCTGCACGTTTTTGGTGCGGGTGCAGTGTGAATAGAGAAATACAAAATGTATGGCTGCAGGTGTGTATGTTAAGTTAATAACACCCTGAAAGCGGTCCGCAAAATGCGGTGCGATGTGCAGAATCGGATTGCATAGGTGTGAATACCCAAGCGATCCGATTCTAGTGCACGTTTACGGTGCGAATAGAGCCATATAAAATGTACGGCTCCGATCGCACCGCACACAAATTGCATGTGATTTGCACAGAAAGGCAGTGCGGTTCCTGTGCGAATCACATGCGATATACCGCACCGCATATATGTGAACCCGGGCTTATTCAGAACTCCAACCCCCCCAAAAAATGATGAAAATAAATAGCCCATTCAAAAGATATAAATTACAAACTCAGCTCATGCTGCAATACAGCAGTACGTTTTTTTTGTTGCCTTTAGGTCTCCTTACTGTAGTCTGACAGCCAGCACCATTCAACTTATGTATTCTATGACCAGGTCATCCTGGACCCTTCCCAGCCTATGACTGGACCATGAATGCAAAAGCAATACAGTGAGGAATTTATCTCTGTAAGTCTAGGTTCACACCTATGCAAGTTGCGTTTGAGGCGTTTCTGCATTGAGTTTTGCTTTGCGTTTCTTGCACTTGCGTTTCTGATGCGTGTTGCGGTTTCTGTTTCCATTTATTTTATTTTTCTTGTTGCTAGGCAGAGTTTAACCACTTCCTGTCTGGACACTTTTACCCCCTTCCTGTCCAGGACAATTTTCAGCTTTCAGTGCTATCACACTTTGAATGACAATTGAATTATTTACCATTTTTTTGAGACAGATAAAGCTTTATTTTGGTGGTATTTATTTACCGCTGGGATTTTAATTTTTTTTGCTATATAAATGAAAAAGTCCAAAAATTTAGAAAAAAGTGTTTTTCTTATAAAATTTTGCAAATAAATAATATTTCATCATAAATCTTGGCCAAAATTTATTCTGTTATCTTTTAAAAAAAAAAAAAAATATGCCAAATTAGTTTTCTAACCAAAAATTATAATTTTTAAACATTTTTTTTTTTAATTTTTTATTAAATTTTTTTATATTATTATTTATGTTTGTTTTTTTTGTTTTTTTTTTCCATACCTTCACCCTAGCAGTACAGTGTCACCATGGTGACACTGTACTACTTGGGGGTGATGAAGATTTTTTTTTTTTTTTTTTTTTTTACAGTGATTGCTTTTACACCCATATAGGATGTAAAAGCAATCATTTCTCCTTCTCTCCAGCTGCATTCTTGCAGCCATTGAGAAATACTGTGTAAGCTGTGATTGGTCACAGCTTGTCACATGGTACAAGGATGTTGTGAATAGCCTTGTACCATGTGAGCTCTGTGATCATTCACAGATTTCAAACGTAGTAAGCAATGATATCACAAGTGACATCTTGCTTACTACTTTGCATGTGATCACTGATTGGCCAATCAGTGATCACATGATCGGGACCTCGTACAGAGGTCCCGTCCGACGATCGGTGTTACACTGTGTCCGGAGGACACAGCGGGCACCGGATCGCGGTGCTGCGCGCTCCCAGGGAGCGGGCACAACTAGAAATAGTGGGTGCCGTTTATGAACGGCAACCCGCCCCTGGAGTGCCACCACCCTGCCGTTTAAAAAACAGCAGGCGGACGGCAAGTGGTTAAACGCAAAACATGGCAAAACCGCAATACATGCTTTTTTGCAGCATTCCCATTGAAGTCTATAGAACCAAAAACGCAACGTTTTGTATTAAAAAAAGTCCCTGACCCTTTCCAAAAAAAACTCACCGGGTGAAAAACGTGGAGATGTGAACCCTTCCCAGAGAAAATCATGTGAAATGGACTGTACTGCGTTTCTGCAAAATGCAAAACACTGCAGAAAACGCTTAGGTGTGAACCTAGGGTTAGGCCCCTTTTACATGGGGCAATCTCCAATTGATCAGCAGAGGACATGTCTGCTGATCTCCTGCTGATCAGAGCAGAGTGAGCTGATGACAGGTCCATGTCTGCTCAGTTTATGCAGAGCGGACATGGACACAACCCACTGTGCTCTATGGACAGCTGGGAGCAATTGGTCTCCCCTGTCCATTTACACCCGACTGCCCTCTGATCCAATCTGCCTAGACAGAGAGGGATGGATCCCCCTTTGTTTTTTGTGTTTTTTGTTTTTTTGTAGCAGACCGGGTTGGAGGTAGGCTGATTTAAATGAACACAAGCTGACAAAGCTCTTTCTTAGATACACAAAATATAACTGGATACTTGGGTGGCACAGTGGCTAAATGGTTAGCACTTCTGCCTGGCAGTACTAGGGTCACTGGTTCAAATCCCAACCATGGCACCACCTGCCTGGAGTTTGCACGTTCTCCCTGTGCCTGTGTGGGTCTCCTCTGGATTCTCTGATTTCCTCCCACACTCCAAAGACATGCTGGTAGGTTAATTGACTCTTGTCTAAATTGGCCCTAATATGTGTATGTATGAATAGGAGCTATTAGATTGTACGCCCCTTTAGGGTTAGGGACTGATGTGAATGTACAATATATATGTATGAAAGTCATAAAGCAAAGAAAGTGTTCATATGATGGTGAGGGTCTGAGAAACACTGGTCAGAAAATTGTGCTGCACACAAATCCTGTTGCACAGGTGGTATCAAATTATTCCATGTGACTTTAATCCATGCAGGAAATTGATAAAAATGCGCACTCACCAGATGCGCATAGTAAAAGCGCAATGTGTTGCTTAGTGGTTAGTACGTCTGCCTTGCAGTAAATGGGTCATGGGTTCAATTCCTGACCATGGCGCCTCCTGCATGGAGTTTGCATGTTCTCCCTGTGCCTGGGTGGGTTTCCTCTGGGTATTCCGGTTTCCTCCCACACTCCAAAGACATGTTGGTAGCTTAACTGGATCCTGTCTAAATTGGTCCATGTATGTATAAATGTGAGTTAGGGACCTTAGATTGTACACCCCTTGAGGGTTAGGGACTGATGTGAATGTACAATATATATGTAAAGTGCTGCGTAAATTGACAGCGCTATATAAGTACCTGAAAGAAGAAGAAAAGGATACTAACATTTATAGGTTAAGTTGATCCAGGGAATATCCGATTACCTCTCAGGAGATCAAGAAGGAATTTTTTTCCCAGCAGGAGAAAATTGTATCGTGCTTTGCTGGGTTTTTTTTTGCCTTCCTCTGGATCAACTGTGGGTATAGGATTATAACTTTTTTTTTTTTTTAATGGTTGAACTGGATGGACTTTTGTCTTTTTTCAGCCTGACAAGCTAAGTAGCTATGTAAGTCTATTTACACTTGCCTGTCCATAGGGCTGAATGGAGGGTCCAATCAGGTCCACCTGAAAAACTGACAGGAAGACCGGACTGGATCGCTCATGTGAAAAGCTCCTTGTTCTGCTCTTTCCTCCTATCAGCATACTTGTCAGCATGTGAACTGTTCTGCTTTTTCTAATGCTCCTACCCCTTACACCAGCAATGGGCAAACTACAGCCCGCGGGCCATATACAGCCCAGCGGACCTTTTAATCCGGCCCGTGGAGCGTGATGCTGTCAGGATGTGTGTAGGCGGGGCAGCGTGACGAACGTGAGGGGAGCTAGGCTCCTCTCACAGTCTGCCCTGAAGACCGGAACGGCGCGGGAACACGGCGAGAGGAACGCGCGGAGCAAAGGTAAATGAATGAATTACTATGGGGGATGAATTACTATATGGGGGATGGGGGATGAATTACTATATGGGGGATGAATTACTATATGGGGGATGAATTAATATGGGGGATGAATTACTATATGGGGGATGAATTACTATGGGGGATGAATTACTATATGGGGGATGAATTACTATGGGGGATGAATTACTATGGGGGATGAATTACTATGGGGGATGAATTACTATATGGGGGATGAATTACTATATGGGGGATGAATTACTATATGGGGGATTAATTACTATGGGGGATGAATTACTATATGGGGGATGAATTACTATGGGGGATGAATTACTATGGGGGATTAATTACTATGGGGGATGAATTACTATGGGGGGATGAATTACTATATGGGGGATGAATTACTATATGGGGGATTAATTACTATGCTTACTATGGGGGAATATTACTATACTTACTATGGATGACACATACACATCATTCATCTACTCTTGGTCCGGCCCCCGGGTCCAATATATGAACCCATTGCGGCCCTCAAGTCAAAAAGTTTGCCCACCCCTGCCTTATACTCTAGTTCTGCTGTACTGGGAATGTAAGAGGCTGATATCAGGTCACATTTAAGTCCTTAGATTAGCATTGAAAAAAGAAATGCATTAATGATTATGTAGCCGCATTCATTTGTATCTTTTAGTCCTCATGCACACGGGACATTTTTACAGCAGCTGTTTTTGGCTTTTGGCGTTTTTTTCTACAGCCAGTAAATCCTCCAGCTTAGGTGTCCATGCAAACATAGGCTTTAATCAGCATATTTTGGCAGGGGTTTTTTGGCTGGAAAAAAAAAAACAGAACTAGTGGGTTTCGAGAGGAATTGTTTAGCTGTAAAAATGCTCTAACGCTTGTAAACGCAGCAAACCAGCGTTTTTGAATGTTTTTTTTTTTTTGTTAGCCAAAATATTATTTTTTTTGTGTAAAAACACTAATGCCGACAAACACCACTAAACGCGGCAAAACGCTAATGTAAAAAAAACACAAAAAAAAGGCGGAAAAGCTTGTGCTTTTAACGCAAATTCATACAGCTGATGCTACCAGCGTTTTTAAACTGTGCACGAGGACTTAAATCTGCATAGAATTCAACTTTTAGCTGTGATGCGCAAGTGCAGGTAGGAAACTCAACTCAACAACTCACCCTTATCAACATAAGACCCTGGGGTTGATTTAATAAAGTGCCCTTAAAATGCTCTGGATGTTCCATGTTATCATTTTTGAACAAATGTTGAAAGTTTTTGGACTCTCAGATTGTACATCAGGCTTTATTATTATTATTATTATTATTATTATACAGTATTTATATAGCGCCAAAGGGTATGCTCAGAGTTGTACAGTAGCAAGGGGGACAGAACATGATACAAGACAGTAACAATACAATACACGAGGGGTTCGAGGGCCCTGCTCTTTCGAGCTTACAATCTAGGAGGGAGGGGAAGGTGGCACAGGAGGAGATGGCTGTGGGGGATGGAGTGGCGGGAGGAGTGGAGGAGGTTAGTTGTTAGGTGAGGTCGGGTGTTAGGTGAGGTTGGGGTAGGCTTCCCTGAAGAGGAGGGTTTTCAGGGTGCGCTTGAAGGTGAGGAGGGTAGGTGACAGTCTGATGGATTGGGGTAGGGAGTTCCGGAGGATGGGGGAAGTCCTGGAGAAGTCCTGCAATCGGGCGTGGGAGGAGGAGACCAGGGAGCTAGAGATTAGGAGGTCCTGTGAGGAGCGGAGGGCACGGGTAGCGTAGTATACATATGAATCCCCAAATGTGGGCTCCCTGTTTGAGGGACACCCCATTTTTGTTGAGAACAGAGCCATTTGGATTGATTTACTAAAGGCAAACAGACTGTTCACTTTGCAAATGCAGTTGCACTCAGCAGGGGCATTTGCTATAGAGCTTGGTAAATGAAGTAAAGCTTAATTTTGCAAAGAATACCCAATCACATTGCAAGGAACATTTTAAAAAACTGCATTATGCTTGCACCTGATTGGATGATGGAAGTAAGCCGTGCTTACCCTCATTTACTAAGCTCTAGAGCAAGTGCCCTTTCAGAGTGCAACAGCACTTGCAAAGTGCACAGTCTACTTGCCTTTAGTAAATCCCCCCCCCCCCTTTTCCCGTGTAGGCTAACTGCTGTAGATCTACAAGCCCCAGCATGGCCGAACAGCCATGTTCTTGGACAATCATTGCAGATAGCTGCCCTGTGCACCCGTCATGTGAACTACACGCTTCAACCCCCTCCCTGCTTGCTACAGGTATGCTAGAGCAAATAACATTGCCTAGCACTATCCAATACAATCCAGCTTTCATCCAGACACCGGGCCTATTGTAAGAGAACAAGACACAATTCAAGTCACCCTGTTGCTAGGCAACCAGACATTATCACAGGCCACAAGCCCAGAGGTTCCATCACCACGCCAAACCACAATTTAGTCTTTGAAAACCACAAAAGATCACCTCGCACCGTCTAATGCTGCTTTGTTTTGCTGCTTGTGAGACGTGATATGTGCAAACAGATTTTTATAATACAAGGGCACAAAAAGCAAGGGCGGTGTGATGTTCCTCCAAGCAAAATAAATACGTAGACACATGAATAAATCAGTTTGAGGGGTCAGTCTGCCCAGAAGTTAACCCACCAGTCTATTAGTTCCTATAGATTCTTTTGGTGAAAGGTCTGCTCTGAGTTTTTTGGTCTGCCCCCCTTCTGTGCTCATAATGAGCATCTCCCACCCTTTCTGTTGGATTTTTAGTTATTTTGAATTATATGGAATATAAAGAGAAGAAAGCTGTAAAACACAAAGATAAGCAGGACACCCAAACCTCTTAGATGAATGGGAAAGGTGTTGGGCGTTAGGTCAAGGAGATCTCAGTGTTTGGGTGTCCAAGACACTAAGGGCTCTTGCACATGTGTACAGTACACTGTGCTCAGATCCATAATGCATAGTCTATACATACACTATATTGCCAAAAGTATTAGGACACCCCTCCAAATCATTGGATTCAGGTGTTCCAATCACCTCTATGACCACAGGTGTATAAAATCATGCACCTAGGCATGCAGACTACAAACATTTCTACATGTTCTACAAATATTTGTGAAAAAATGGGTCGCTCTCAGGATCTCAGTGGTACCATGATAGGTCGCCACCTGTGCAATAAGTCCATCATGAAATTCCCTTGCTACTAAATATTCCACAGTCAACTGTTAGTGGTATTATAACAAAGTGGAAGCAACTGGGAACAACAGCAACTCAGCCATGAGGTGGTAGGTGTAGTGGTGTAAAGCACGCCACCACTGGACTCTAGAGCATTGGAGATGTGTCCTCTGGAGTGATTAATCACGCTTAATCACGCTCCTCTGTCTGGCAATCCGAAGGACGTGTCTGGGTTTGGTGGTTGCCAGGAGAACTGTAGTTGCCTAACTGCATTGTGCCAAGTGTAAAGTTTGTTGGAGGGGGGATTATGGTGTGGGGTTGTTTTTCAGGGGTTGGGCTTGGCTCCTTAGTTCCAGTGAAGGGAACTCTTAAGGCGTCAGCTTACCAAGATATTTACACAATTTCATGCTCCCAATTTTGTGGGAAGAGTTTGGAGATGGCCCCTTCCTGTTCCAACATGACTGCACACCAGTGTACAAAGCAAGGTCCATAAAGACATGGATAAGCGAGTTTGGGGTGAAGGAACTTGACTGTCCTGCACAGAGTCCTGACCTCAACCCGACAGAACACCTTTGGGATGAATTAGAGTGGAGACTGCAAGCCAGGCGTTTTCGTCCAACATCAGCACCTGACCTCACAAATGCATTTCTGGAGGAATGGTCAAACCTTCCCATAGACACTCCTAAACCTTGTGGACGGCCTTCCCAGAAGAGTTGAAGCTGTTATAGCTGCAAAGGGCGGGACAACTCAATATTGAACCCTATAGACTAAGACTGGGATGCCATTAAAGTTCATGTGCGTGTAAAGACAGGCGTCCCAATACTTTTGGCAATATAATGTAGTATTTTTATGCTATGGACCCAACCAAACAGCTCCATTTAGGTCTGTAGTGTTTAGCTGTGTAAACCAAAAGAAGAAAAAATGTGGGAACATGGACCAATTTTGACCATATTTTATGCTCTACACATTTGTGTTTGCATGCGTACATAAACCTGATAACGTGATGCTGCGCCTCACTAAAAATGTGCTCTCAAAACCAGTATCCAAGTGTAAATTCTAAATACATCCAATACTATGTGTTTGTGCACAAGATATTAAAAAATATAAATAAATATAAAAATATATATATAAAAAACTTCCACAGTCCATAAAGTGAATATATAACTTCAATATATCTATATTCCACCTCCTGTGTTCACACCAAATCATGTAAGCGTGTTTGCCACTACCATTCAATCTCCGCTTAAGGACCTATCCATTTACATGTCATATGCGTTTATTTCCATTATATGGGTCCTTAAATCAGTTCCTCTTATGTATGTAGCCTTTTTTTGGGTTGGTGTCCCATCACTCCTATCTTCACAATGCAGATCACTCAAAATAGGTAGCCTGGCCCTTTAAAAATGCAGTCCCCATTTCTGAATATTTACTGTTAAAATGTATTTGATGATCTTTATTCTCATCCACAGGAGGTTTATTTATTTGTCAGTTTATGCGACGCTTACTTGATCTGGAGTGAGCACAGGAGGAGGTGGAACATAGATATATTTAAAGAAGTTAAATATTCACTTTTTGGACTTTTTTAATATATATTTTTTATATTTTTTATATTTTTTACTATCTTGTGCACAAATATAGTGAAATGATATATGTTTAAACTGGGAGCAGAGTTATGATTGGAGTTGGTTTGGTATGCCATTATAGTGATTGTGTAAAAGTGAACCGTGTATATATACCCAGGGCATAATCACATAGTATTGGATGTATTTATAAGTTATACTTGGATATTGGTTTTGAGAGCACATTTTTTGGGAGGCGCAGCATCACATTATCAGGTTCATTTACATTTAATACTGTGGGAACACATTGTTGTTTACAGCCACCCTTGATAAATATATATATATATATATATATATATATATATATATATATATATATTATTTTTTTTTTTTAGCACTAGAATTATTTAGACACAGTTTATTAGGAGGTGCGGGATAATTATATAAATGTTTACATGCATACAGCCTAAATGAACATGGCCATATGCGCCACCGTCAGATGCTGCCTAGGTAAACAATATGTAGGCAGTGATGGTGGTGCAATGCAATGGGGGGGATTTACTAAAACTGGAGCACTTAGCATCTGGTGCAGCTGTACATGGTAACCAATCAGCTTCTAACTTCAGCTTGTTCAATTAAGCTTTGACAATAATAAAACCTGGAAGCTGATTGGTTTTTATGCAGAGCTGCACCAGATTTTGCAGTTTTAATAATAACCCCAAATATCTCTGAAAATAGCTGAAGAGTGAGTGGGGTGCTGTAACGACCACCAGCTGGGAGACCGGAAGGACTCAAGGCAAGAAATATCTCACCAGCAATCCATAAAAGGGTCCAAAGATTTATTAGTTGATCACATAACAGAGAAAGATAGCGACGCTTCAGATTCAAGCAAGACCCCTTCACTAGGCATGTGGCATTGCAACATCATTAGGAGGACTTTATCTGTCCCAGCATATAACAAAGGAGGATATATCTCACCACCACCAATAGAGAAAGGACTGAAACCAAACAGGATGGAGCCAACCACAGGCTACAGGACCACATGAGGGGTAGAGGTTCACCCAGGACAAAAAAAACATGCTCCAAAGTACAGCAGGAACTTTACTGTCTCACAAACATCCTCCTCAGCTCAAACCACCAAGGCAAAGCTGCCCAATCCTGCAGTAACGGTCCAGTAACAACTGTCTCCCCAACAGGATATCTTTGACTGTTCTGCCGCCACTGCCACTGCCTGCACATGGTTTGATTTACTTTAATAATTAATTCAGGGGACGATATAAACATGTGTAGACAGCAGCAATGGTGCAGATGTAGAATGACTGTACTCTACATGAATGAATGACTGTACACAGAAACACATTTCAATCCAATCATAAGCACATGTAAGACTGTATGACCTAAGATGCAGTACGGATTGCTTTTTACACAGGATCTTGCTGCCAACAAGATCCTACATGAATTGTATATGGCCTGTATTGTTTAATCACTTATTCAGAGGGAGATGTAAACATGTGTAGGCAGCAGCAACAGTGCAATTGTAGAATGACTGTGCATAGTACACTTTTCAGCTCATGTGGACATAAGTTTGCATGAATTGAGATGCTGCATGGACCGCTTTTTATGTTTTCAGCAAGATCCTGTGTGAATTGTATATGGCGAAGTATATGAGGCCTAACACAACTAACATACTACATTTAAGTAGACTGACCCTTTGATTAAGCTAGACAGCTACAAAGGATGGTTTATTATGGGCTTCTGCATGATGCAGATTGATTTGTGCATAATAGAATAAGTCCAAACCTGCATAGGGAGACACATAAAACAAGGTTCTATTTCTAAAATCAAACCTCACCAAGATCCTGCATGTGCCTGTATGCATTTTGAATTCCTGCAGTTCTGCCCCTGGAAGCCGTTCAAATTCTAACTAAAGCTAAACATGCCTACTACATAGCACATTGCAACAATGTGTCTCTTATTGGTGTTGGCATTATATTAGTAGCATCTGTATGTCGATTTTCCAAACATTTAATATTTGCATGTGGGGTGGGAGTACTAGCAGGGTGTAACAAGACTGCATAATACAGTCAGCTTGGCATGACAAGAGCTGTTTAATGTTCTATTAATTTACATTTTCTTTTCAGAGCCAAAACATGATCTAGGACAGGTATCTCAAGCTTTCTAAACAAAGTGCCAGTTTACTGTCCTTCAAACTTTAGAGGGGCAGAATGTGGCCAGTGGTTGTAGAAAATGCCTTGCCATTAGTGGGAGTAAACAGTGCCCCATCATTGGTATTAGTGGAAGTAATAGTGCTCCATCATTGGTACCAATGGGAGGAATAGTGCCCAATTGTTGGTGTTAATGGGAAGAATAGTGCCTCATCATTGGTACCAAACGGAGAATAAGTGCCCTGTCATTGGTATCAATAGGATGAATAGTACCCCATCGCTGGTATCAATGGGAGGAATAGTGCAACATCATAGGTATGAATGGGAGGCATAGTGCCCCATTGTTAGTGGCAGAAACTAATCCCCAAGGACCAGATAAAAGTAAGCACAGGGCCACATTAGGCCCCCAGGCTGCAGTTTGGAGACCACTGATCTAGGATATAGTTAACCTTCAACAGGTATAAAAGGGCTTCACAAAGTAAAGTCCTTCATGTTGTCCATGTTTTTACAGATGAGATTGGTTTATGACAAAGGAAGTTCCTGTCTTTGATAGAACACAAAAGATGGTATTTCCCCTGAAATGCATTGGATTCATCTGATACCTTTATGCTATAAACATTTTGATTTGACCTCTGAGTATCATGACCTTTTGTACTGTGTGCTCCTCAATACCCACCCCAGTGAACACAAAAAAGAAAGCCATTGTGTGACTTGAACCAAAAAAATACAAGACCACAGGCTAGCAATTCATCAGAAACAATAAGATCACAGAAGCAGCATTATTTACGATAATACAATACAATAGTGATGCCACCAAATCCAAGGATTGAATCAGATATGTTCTAATGAAGACAAAACATTGGTGTCTACTTTGTGCAGGTGATAGGTCCACTTCTATCCAGTCTCAATCATTAGTTAACATTTCTATGTCCATTTTTCTTCTTCCCTTAATATGAAATTAAACAGCTTAGCTCATCACAAACACAGCAGCACACAGGTACAATCAGGAAGTTTAGTAACCCTGAGAGACAAAACTTAATTAGGAGGAGCATGAAGACTTTAATAAAAGATGCCAATTCCTTCACAGTGGTAGCCAAATGACAAAAGCAATAACCCAGCAATTGGATATTTCGGAATCCTCAGAGGTCCTGGAGAAGGCAATCCTGGTATACCCATGTAATGTACAACACTGAGACCTAAATATGGCCACTTACCTGAGACAAGTGAGACTGTGTCCTTCTCCCAGGAGACATACGCCTCCACTGGGGAGGAGATAATGCACTTGAAGACTGCTGCATTGCCTCTCATGGCTTTCTGATCTTCCACTCGGACCGTATAGGCTTCCCGTAACACTACAATGAAATACGCAAGTGATAGTCAGGAATATTGGCTACAGAGGATAGAGGACATGAATAAACCAATTTGAATGCTATTTTTTATTTATATCGCAGCCTGTGTTCCCTTTTCGAAATTGGCTCCTCACCTCCTGGCTATTTAATAGGGAATAAAATAGAGGTGGTAAAATGGATTTAATGTTGCAGCCATAAGGGAAGTCTTTCTCAACTATTTTAACATGGAGGAACCCTTGAGATATATTTCAGGTCTTAGGGAACACCTGCCAATAATTACTATATCTACAGCTCACAGAACATCAGTGTGGTGTTCATTGGAAAGAATGCTCCTTATTTTGTGGTCAGTGGGAAGAATTCCGCTTACATTAGCAGTCAGTGGAAAGAATGCCTCTTACATTGGTAGTCAGTAGGAAAAATACTCCCCTTATGTTGGTGGTCAGTGGAAAGAATGCTCCCTATATTGTTGGTCAGTGGAAAGAATGCCTCTTATATTGGTGGTCAGTGGAAAGAATGCCCCTTATATTGAAGGTCAGTGGAAAAAATGCCCCTTGGTAGTTCATAGAAAGAAAACTCCCCTTACGTTAATGGTCAATCAGAAAAAGCCTCCCTTTATAATGGTGATCAGTGGGAAGAATTCTTCACTCACATTGGAGTACAGTGGGAAGAATTTGCTAGATGGCTAAAAAGATCATTAGTATCAGTGCTTACATTTTTAGGATGCAGAAATTGCTTATTCCTCACCTAGCAAACTCTGAAACAACCCTAGTTGAGAAAGGCTGCACTACAATCTTTATTATACAACACTTTGGGTGTGCCAAAGTTTAAAGACTGGTCATTGCTGGTTATTGTCTTTGTGTCGGGTGACTGGTCTTGTCTTCATACCCCATGTAGTTTCCTACAGGCAGCCTAAAGTGTGCAGATCTGCTAGGACTTCCTATCAGCAGGAGTCAACAGTACGTGAGAGAAAATCTGTTTCAAATGGGGGTGTCCTTCTACTCTTGCTCTAATGGCAACTGTAAAACTTCATATTTCCTGTCGATTTATGTTGCAACCAGGACATAAAAGGAGGGTGACTGTCTCCAGTAAGAATACATTTTTAGGGTACCTTTAAGTAGACTAAGCAAAATCTGTAATAGATACATGAAGGAGGTGTTGAATTGGCTTCTTCAGTAGTAAAAGTGCTAATGCATTTTGTGGGTATCATTTTTAAGGCCTGTCTAATTCTGTGTCTATGAGCTGTTTGTAACCATGGGCCTGAGTACCTTGTTTGTTCACCAGTACTTAATTCTGTTCCTTTCATATAGAACAGGGGTCTCCAACTTTCTAAACAATGGGGCCAGTTTACTGTCATTTAGACTTTTATGGGCCGGACTGTGGTCATTTGGAGAAGAAAAAGTCCTGACGTCAGTGGGAAAAAACACTGACACTGTCCTTGGTGTCAGTGGGAGGAATTGTGCCACATCGTTTGTGTCACTGGGCGAAATTGTGTACCATCGTTGGGGTCATTGGAATTGTGTCCCTTCATTGAGGGAAATATGCCCCATTGTTGGTATTAGTGGATAAAATAATGTCCCAAGGGCCAGATAAAGCAATCAAAGGGCCGCTTCTGGCCCCTGGGCATCAGTTTGGAGACCACTGATGTAGAACATGATTATGGAATGACAATACAATATCCTTATCCTTATACTATTAGAGTAGTTAGTCAGAAATTTAGATTGTCCAGGCCCAACCATTTGTCATCTCAGAATACCAGCGATATTTGTTTTGTCATGGCTGCCATATATAGTGGAAAAGAGAAGCTCTGCCATTGGAGAATTAACTGGCTGCAGGTTACCTCCAGGAAGGGGTCAGTCACAACTTAAAAAGAAGTAGAGGTCCCCATATACAACTTAAGGATAGGATCTGAGACCCTTCAAAAGAGAACTGGGATCGATCAATCTTTTGATCTTCAGCTCCGTTTTATCCTGGGCACATTTTAAGCAAGGAAAAGTCACTTCAAAAAAGTTTAGGTATAAGCATAGTACATGTAAGTTAATTTACTCACCGGCCTTAATGTGGACATCCTGACTCCTGATTTTCCCTGAATGGTTTTCGGCTGTGCAATAGTAAGTATTATCATGGATTAAGTTATTAAAGCTTGAAGGAGGGAAGGGGAAAATTTGGAGAGTGCCATTGGGGTGGACGTGGCGGATCCCAGGGACATCGTAGATCTCCTCGCCCGTTGCTAGGTACCATCTGAGCGTCAGACGAGGGACTCCTTCTGCAGGGCAGGGTACCAGAGCCCCCGTGGTGCTAGCAAATACTACCTCTTGCAGAGATGCATTGATAAAATATAGGCTGGTATGTAGATCTTCACTAGAAACTAGAAAAAAAGAAAGAAGAAAAAAAAAAAAGACTTGTGAAAAATACATTTCTAACAAAAAATACACCTTAGCTCTTTAATACAACCAGGCAAAACAAGCAAACATCCCCTTTGACATTTTTACTTTTTCCTGCTGTTCCCCAAAATCAACTAGGTTCCCCAATAATACATTCAATTTGCTGCCTGGAGGCCTATAACATTTGCAGTGCATTGTACATGCAGCATTTATATGTTGTTATATACGCCCTAAACAGAAGCACCCCTGGCTTAAACTGAATGTTGCTGCTAGTCTGTAGTCAGCCTGAGCTCTGAATTGTTATAGTTCAGCTTTCAATGGGTTTTCCCTAAGCTACATTTAGTGTATGCTTCTGTCTGCACATATCTCTCGCAATACAGTAAGAAGATAAAAATAATTCTGAGTTATGAATATTTAGGTTTCCCTGGCCAATAATTAGGTTTATTGCCTGTTTGCATGGTGGGGAAGGATATACAAATTTAGGGTGACCTTCCAGAGGGGTCTCTTGTCCTTGCCTTCTGGACTGTTGCCAGGAGACAAAGCTGTGTTGAAGGCCTCTGCCTCTAAGACCAGCCCCCCTGGTGAGGGCGTAGCCAAGAGTGGGTCTTAGTCTTGGGCCTGCATGGTTTGCACTGCCTTGCCGAAGGGTGTCCAGGTCCAGGTTGAGTAACGTTAGACCCTTCCTGCAGCACCATGGGAAGGAGCTGCAGAAGAGTGTCCTAGAGAGCTGTATAGAGGCAGCTACCTATGGACATTGCAGGAAGTCTGGTGGCTCAACTGAAAGGGTATTTGTGTGACCCGAAACTGCCCAGCAGTCTGAAAAGTACCAAATCATCAATCTCGACTTAAAGGTTCTCATTTCTGTATTGACTGTTGCTAGTAGAGATGCAATTTGCCGCTTTTCACATATTGTGCCATAACCAATTCTGTTGAGTTTATTGTGCTTTAATAAGCTCTCCTATATGTTCTAAAGTTCTGGTGACCAATTTCTTCCACTCCTTGAGTCTACAATTCCACCCTTAGATACTAGCCCACTGAGCCACCTGGGGGACCACCTCAACCTCCAAGGGGTAACGGTTTGCAACATATGAAAGAAATTGATAACCTAGACTAGATGTTGGTTTGGCCATAGATTCAAGTTCTTGCTAAGCTTGTTTCCCCAGAAGATGCAATCCTTACAGAATATTCTGGACCTGTCCATAACAGAACAGGTTGGAAAGCGGTCTAGAAAATTGACAGACACTTTGGGGTAGATTTACTAAAACTGGTACACTCAAAATCTGGTGCAACTAGGCATCGTAGAAAATCAGCTTCTAACTTCAGCTTGTTCAGCTGATTCGTTTCTATGTTTTAGTAAATAACCCCCTTTATCTGCTAGTATTGCGGTGCAAAAGAGATTCACTAGTTATCAAACTCAAGCTATCAAAAACTTAGAGGACGTATGTATATTTAGTGCACTTACCCTTAGTGCATCCCAGTACTTTCCCCAGCCACATTACCCTACTTGCAGCACTACACATCTTCTTCCTGAAAATCCTTCCTATTTTGTCCTTTGTTCCTGAGCACCAATTTCTGTACATTCCAATGGAAAGTCCATAATCCACCTGGACTACAGTAGACTGATGCATGCAAGCACAGGAGGAGCACAACATTACAGCAGGGATTTTCAAGAGGTTTTGCACTACCAAGCAGGCCTTGCAACAAGATCTCAGAGGAGCCTAGACAGGTAATTATGGGGCTTGTCAGGGATACTGGATACAGGTGTATTAGTGCTTCTACCTTCCCACATTCCAGCTCCATCCTGTGCTCAGGCTGCTGGTGCCTCTAAGCAACATGGATCACAAGAGGAGAAATCTGCAGTTGGAATGGCATCCAGCAATTTATTTTATTTATTTATTTCAGGTACTTATATAGCACCATCAATTTACACCGCGCTTTACATATATATTATACATTCACATCAGTCCCTAACCCTCAAGAGGTGTACAATCTAAGATCCCTAACCTACATTCATACATACACTTACTAGGGCCAATTTAGACAGGAGCCAATTAACCTACCAGCATGTCTTTGGAGTGTGGGAGGAAACCAGAGTACCCGGAGGAAACCCACGCAGGCACAGGGAGAACATGCAAACTCCAGGCAGGTGGTGCCGTGGTTGGGATTTAAACTGGCGACCCTAGTACTGCCAGGCAGACAGGCAGATAGCAATGGCTATCTTTATTGCAAAAACATGTATACCAGCTGTATAACATCTGTAAAACAACCAACCCGTTTCAGCAAACTGTGTCTAAGGCCTGACAGCCAAAATGCGTTGGATGTTTTACAACTGTTATACATAGAATAGCATCCAACAACTTTAATCCTTTACTGCAAATACAAGAGCCGACTTCTGTGATCCTTGTCAGGGATGCTGCAGCACACTTATGGTAAATGCACTTAAAGTGAAATTTCTCTTTAAACGGTCAGGCAGTTCTTAGCAGGCATGCTTTCACACAGATGTGTTTGCTAACTAAACGCTAAATTCCGTAATGACTCATAATTCGCAGGATCTCACTAAATACTGGTGTCTCTCATTTACTAATGTGCTATGAAGTTGTTAATGAAGCGACACTGTGTTTTGATGCGGTTTGCCATTTTTTATTTTTATTTAGGTGACAATGCGCCAACAGAACCAAGAATACAAACATCAAAAAGAGAGAGCTTTCCATATGATCTCAAAGCAATCTCTAAAAGAAAGCCACTTTAATATTACAATTATAAACATCTACTTGACACCTTTCAGCATAAATAGCCTGATACACAACACAAGCGTCGCTGGCGCTGACTAATCTTTGTACAGCCAGCATTATAAACACTCCCACTCATTATCACCTAACGAGTCGAGTCTTGTTTTCCTTCTCTGATGGTCTGAAAAAGAAACATGCTCACCAATTAAAGTGTAAAATGATTATTTCCAATCACCAGGCCATAAAGCCTCAACTGCAATTAGCAGCAAAGATGTCAATTATACCATAATCGCGGCATTCGGGGACTGGTTGTCATGCACCATATAAGAGGGGAAATGGCCAAGCTCCTCTTAAAGTGGAACTCCAACCAAAACATTTTTTTAGCTGATGGACAAAATGGACAGGGGCATTGATGCTTGTGATGCCCATCATTTCCCATGTGGATGATCACATAGCCAAGGCTGCAACAGAAACCCGACAGATACTTTTTGGTTAGATACCGTCCTTAGAAGGTATCCTTCCTTATCCAAAGCAAAAAATATACAAAGCTCTGTTTTCTGTTATTAGGAAAACTTGATCTTGATATCTTTTTATGTCATAAATTTTGTAGGTCCACTTAAACATTGATCTGAGCTGATTTAAAATTTTGCATTTGTAAGCTGATACCATTCTTAAAACCTGTTTGTTGTGGAGTATGTAAGAACCTTTGATTTGTTGGTCTTCAAACAGATCCCTTTGTCTTTATGACCTACTTGAGTCCTACCCCAGTAGGCCCCCATGGGGGCCTTGCTTCTGCCCAAGTGAAGATAAAGCCTTGCCCCGACCCATCGTCTTAGCTCCACCCCACTTCATTAAGCTTAAAAATGTCATATCTTTAATGGCCAGTGAAAGCACCGGAATATGACAGATGAACGATAGGAGTTGGGGCTATCATGAGGCAGGGCTGGGTTTACCAATGTGGACAGAAGTCAATCAAGTTAGTCTCCTGTCAAATTTAAAAGTGAATTATTTGCAATGCTCAGTTCACCACAGAGAATATAATCTACCTTCTCAGGTGACTACATAGAGCATAGCCTACCTTCTCAATTGACTACAGAAAGCATAACCTACCCACTCAGTTGACTACAAAGATCATAGCCTATCTTCTCAGTTGACTACAGAGAGCATAACCTACCTGCTCAGTTGACTACAGAAAGCATAGCCTACCTGCTAAGTTTACTACAGAGAGCATAGTCTACCTGCTTAGTTGACTACAGAGAGCATAGCCTTGCTCAGTTGACTACAGAGAGCATAGCCTTGCTCAGTTGACTACAGAGAACATAGCCTACCTGCTCAGTTGACTACAGAGAGCATTACCTACCCACTCAGTTGACTACAGAGAGCATAGCCTACCTGCTCAGTTGACCACATAAAGCATTGTTTATCTTCTCAGTTGACTACAGAGAACATAGCCTACCTGCTCAGTTGACTACAGAGAGCATAGCCTACCTGCTCAGTTGACTACAGAGAGCATAGCCTACCTGCTCAGTTGACTACAGAGAGCATAGCCTACCTGCTCAGTTGACTACAGAGAGCATAGCCTTGCTCAGTTGACTACAGAGAGCATAGCCTACCTGCTCAGTTGACTACAGAGAGCATAGCCTACCTGCTCAGTTGACTACAGAGAGCATAGCCTTGCTCAGTTGACTACAGAGAGCATAGCCTTGCTCAGTTGACTACAGAGAGCATAGCCTTGCTCAGTTGACTACAGAGAGCATAGCCTACCTGCTCAGTTGACTACAGAGAGCATAGCCTAGCTGCTTAGTTGACCACATAAAACATTGTCTATCTTCTCAGTTGACTACAGAGAACATAGCCTACCTGCTCAGTTGACTACAGAGATCATAACCTACCCACTCAGTTGACTACAGAGAGCATAGCCTACCTGCTCAGTTGACTACAGAGAGCAAAGCATACCTGCTCAGTTGACTACAGAGAGCATAGCCTACCTGCTCAGTTGACTACAGAGAGCATAGCCTACCTGCTCAGTTGACTACAGAGAGCATAGCCTACCTGCTCAGTTGACTACAGAGAGTATAGCCTACCTTCTCAGTTGACCCCCCCCCCACCTTCCTCCATAACTCAGAGATCCTGGAAAGCGCCTGTTTTAGATTTTGGAGCACCCACAACAAACTAGCTGCTTGTCACACATACAAAAAGACAGATGTATAAACAAAGTAAAAGACATTACTAAGTCACCAATCATATTCAAGA